GAAACTCTTCTTGGTTTCAGTGAGAAAAAAAGAATCAACGAAAAGGAGGGAAGATTTAAGTGTTCAACGTCTTCTATTGTTATATTTTAAATAATGAACTATTCCGTTTTAATCGCGTCCCTCGGGCAAAACCATAAGAAAGAGGTCCCTCTTGATAAAAATCAGGTTTCTTTGGCGCAAATAGTGTGACATTTATATAAGGATTTCTCATAAATGGTTGTCCATAGACAAAAAGTGTGTGGTAATCTGTTGACGAAAGATGGATGACATATATGTCTCCCGGGCCAAATCGCCATATACGTATCCCTGGCCAGCTAGCATGAAACTTTTGTTCAAACAACCTAGAACATTTGCTTCAACATCGCAACAGACAAAAAACTTCTCGAGCTTATGAAAGTATTTTTTAGTAAAAATACTTGCATTTTGGCCAAGACAAATCCCCACCTCACAGACGTGACTCAATCATTTGCGTATCAGTTATCATTCTGCCAACACGACGTAAAAAAAAAAAAACAAGGACATTTTTTGGTTACTTTATTGAATAAATTGGCGTGGTTGGCAATCTAATATGCAAACGTAATTTTATTGATGATAGAGTTTCAATCCTTTTTTTGGGAATCTATTTAACCCTTGTGCCATGACTTTCAATAAATAACTATTTTTGTTTTACTGTTTTTGTTTTTTCCGCACTGTCTAATCAACTTCATGTTCTTTGTCGCCAATCCTCAGACCCCCAAAAAATTGCCTGTCCTTTAAAGAAAAAGAAAAGGCAAAAATTTCACCCAATGAAACTACTACGAACTCCACGCCGGTCACAAAGGACTACAAAAAAGCGTAAAATTTCTTGTTGTACTCATCAGACCGTTCTCTCCCAAACGTTGTGAATCTCAGCGTTTAAAAGTGATACAAATCAATCATGCGTTGAACTGATAGAAGGGCGAAAAAATAGCGTAGACAATCCAAAGGTAAACCACTCCGGAAATTGACGTGACGACGGTCAGAAAAACCTTTCGACGAAATAAAAACGGGGTCGGAATATTATTTTCAAACTCTGTGTGGACTTTTAATGGAACATCAAAGACATGGTCTTAAATCAAGAAAAAGCGACTGTTTCTCTCGATGCGCATTCAGTCCATTTACAAAGACTGATGCCCGTCAAAAAGTAAATCCATCATGAAAATAAATACCAAGAACTTGATATTACCCGACAAAAAACAGGGAGATGTTACGGGCCTTCTAAAATTCACAGACAATTGCTAAACCAACTTACATCCGGCATATAGTTGGGATTCAGCATATAAAGACAACAAAAAGGTAAAAAACATATTAATATTTTGGAAAGGTGCTGTTCGAATTTAATACAGAAATTATCAGATCCCCCCAGATCGTCCGAGTTTTTTCGGTATTTTTTTTTCTTTTAATTTGTATATGGTTTCTTTTTTTTTTTTTTTTTTATTTTTGGCGATGTATACAGCGAGGTAACATTGCAACAATTTAAACATATTTTTGAAGTTTTAATTTTGGATTAAATTTTTTTGGATGCAAGAAAATGACGCAAATTATCATTACCGTTATAAGAAAATATTGAAAGTTCTTGATATTGGCACAAAATTTGACTGAATTAAAAAAAACACTGTATAACAAAATCTTGAATGAAAATGTTCATCAATAAATTTCTGTCCGAGTTTCTGGGATGAGGAGTTATCGTATTTAAATTCAGGTTAATATCCTCATCTTTGTTGATATTACTTGATCGCCATATCTGAATTTTGGGATGATGAGTTATATTTATTGACATTCGGACAAATATCCTCAAATTTGTTGTTATTATCAATCGTGAACGCCTTCTTTCTGTATTTCTGATGAAAGGCTTATCATTGTTCGATTTAGACTAATATCTTCACCTTTGTTATTATCACATAAATTTTCTGTCTGATTTTCTAGGATGAAAGTTATCATTATTTTACTTTGGGACTAATAAAACATCATTCCTGTTTTGATATAACTTTATCTCCTTCTGTCTGAATTTCTGGGATGAGGTGAATAATTTTTCAAGTCTGAATAATGTCTTCATCCTTGGTATTATTCTCAAACGTTTCGGCCGTTGTGTCCTACGACCTTCTTCAGGTGTGTCTCAATCGGTTAACCTTCAAAAACATTCTGAACAACCCCCACCACCTTTATTTAATTTCCGATGTTAGATTAGCCTCATTCCGTGTCTACCAAAAAACCTTTTGTATTCATGGGCAATATTCTAGAAAGGATAGGAAAAACGTCGATTCGTGAATTTTATCCATAGTTAAAAATTATCGTTCAATCCCTAGTCTTCTGATTTAAACTTTGAATCATATACAAACAGATCTAGCCATAAATGAGCAGTGCTAAAATAAAAAAGACAAACTGCAGCAAAGTACCATTCTATCTTAATTATGTAACGTCCTGTTTCCTCATGACATTTGAAGTTTTGTCTTCATTTGTCCTTTCTCTACTGCTGTGACCTTACAGCTACTTTTCACCACATGCTAATTGGTCTTAGGCAATCCCGTCTGTTTAGTTTTGACTTATGTCAGTGAAAAATGTTGAATCTGAAAGTTTAAACGGGACAGCAAACTACAGATTTTAGTCAGAATAAATGCTTTTTTTCATTTAAACGGATTTGAATATAAAGGAAAATATTATGTTTAATCCTGTTATATTTTTTCATCATTGGTCCGATCAAGTGGACGTTAAGCCGGCCTAAAGATTGTTTTCTTATAACCCTGTATTTATTTTCAGATTTTGTTTATTTTTTCTTTCTTTCTTTTTTATATTTATTTATTTCTCATTTTTTATTTCTAATTTGTTTTTATTTTTCTGTTTTTTTTTCGTTTTTATTTATTTATTCCGTTTTATATATTCCGTTTCATTTTTATTTACATTTTAAGTTTTGTTTTCATTTTCAAGTATTTTTATAGTTCGATTTATTTTTTTTGCTGAAATTTTTGAATTTTAATGTTTTATTTTAGGATTTATTTTGAATTATTGTTCCTTAATTTTTAAATTATTGTCATTGCTTTTTATTTATTTTAATCTTTTAAAACCATTCTGAACTCGTTCCAGTATTTATGTATTTCGGTTACGTTAATAGGACAGTTCTGATATATGTGGTATAGAAAAAAAATGTACATTTTATATAAAACTGAAGACATTCCGGAAGGACCATCATTTTCCTGATTTTACAAGCAAAAGTGTATTATCAGGCCTAAAAGTACGAAAGACGAAATCAAAGAAACAGGAATAAGGTAACGGATGGAAGTTGTGATTCATCCTGTTTTGTTACATTTTCCAATCAGGCCGTGGACGATCCTGTCTCTGAGTGGAGTGGTCCTTTGTAACCCAAAAGCAATGTTCAACTCATGACCATATCACGTTGAAACCGCGGTCCCCATACTATCATCGAAGTTAAGCAACGTCTAGCCTGGTCGGTACCTAAATAGGTGTTGTCAGCTTGAACTTGAAATTGTTAATCGGAGAGCCGAGTTCCAATTCTAGTCGGGTTATATTCACTTATACGCAAATGCCCTTGGGATAGGTATAAATCCACCTCTTCTCCCCCAGCTAGGTGTTAATTAGTAGGGCTTGTATCAGCAAGCCATTATTATCTTCAAAAAACCTCTTACAATCTAAAAGATATTTTCTGGCTACAAAAGGTTGATAAGCCCTAAGAACAAACCAGTACGCCAGACAAAGTTGAAAGCCAAAACGGTCTTGTCATTTCCATTACGAAGCCAGTAACGTTTCATCATCACCGAACAGGCAGATCCTGGATTTTCTTCAGTTATCATGAATGGTTACACTTTTAATGTGGCTCCTTGGTTTGCACGTCTGCTGGGACTCAACTTCAATCCAGACCCCGACATGAAACACATACATATGTTCCATCGCTAAAGATGCTGGGAAAATGGTTGACATTTTTTCGAGATCAAAAAGTGTTTTCTGTTCAAAGTATGGCGTCACAAGATTGAGCTTGTGTAATTTTAGTAACTTAGTCCTATGTATGCGTGGGACTCTCACTTTAAATTCGGCCTTGTGTCATACATTCGAGTCCGAAACAAACGGCCATGGTCGACTATTTAAATTGATTTTTTACTCTAGATTTCAATTTTTTATTTCGCGCTCGCGTATTTTAAATAATTTTCTGATTTTGAACGGACTCACATGGATGGACAAACGCTAAATTTATATATATATATATTTAATAAATCTTCAAGTTTGAACGGACACACAACCAGACAACTAAATTTACATATATATTTAATAAATCCCCATTATTTTGAACTGATGCACACACGAACAGACAAATATATATATATATATATATATATATATATATATATATATATATATATATATATACTTATTCTTGGGATGGTTTTTAAATGGATGCACACAAGGCCAGACAACCAAATTTATATATATTTAATTAAACTTCATCATTTTGGAAATGCACCCCCAAACACACACACATACACACCTGATCACACATTGTGTTAAACAGCCAGATTTATATATATTTAATTAAATTCTTGATTTTGAATGGAGAGACACACATACGCACACACAAACATGCGGACAAACAGCGAAATTTATATTATATTTAATTAAAATTCTAATAGTTTGGATTTTACATTTTATAATCATCAACAAATCGACTATATATTATAATTAAACTTTTTAGCAAATAGTTTGAACGGACACTGCTCATATATATACAACCAAATTTATATATATTTAAACTATTTTGATCGGGAACACACACACAATCGTTGTGCTTTATATATCAGATATTAAGGCGGCCTGATGACTGTGTAATTGAGGAAAATAATCCCAAATATTGAAACTTTTGTTGATTTATCGCATACCTTTTTAAATTTTTGAATATTCAAAAATTTAACATTACACGTGCCAATATTGCAAAAGAGATTTTACCTTGAAATCATCAATCTTAATATCCCCCTAAGACCCAATCAGACGAAAGAAAAAATCAATGTGAGAAATGCTTGAAATGGTTCCGACGGAGGGACCATCTCAGGGATCACATGTAAGTTTATATTCTTCTATTTGGTATAAGAAGTTAAACTAGGAGAAACGAACTGAGATATATATATATATATATATATATATATATATATATATATATATAATGTTTAAAAATATTAAAATCGGCATAAAGTTCTCATGTTTCCAAAACGAGAGCCGATACCATCAAATAATTATTAAAAATTAAGTTTAATTGAAAGTTTAAAAGCTTATTTCAAATCATTAAATAGGAAAAACCCTTTCTGTAGTCGTCAAAAACAAAAAAAAAAATTGAAATTCAGTGCAATAAGGTTTGTATATAAAACACCCACTTGAATAAACAAATAAATAAATAGATAATCAGATGGACAATAATAAACACAATCCTCCCGACACATAACGACTTGTGGGCGCGCATATAAAATATCCCTCACTGGGAACCAACTAAAGGGTGACCATAAACATTAGCCTTGGAATAGATACCCTACCCAACCTTAGCAAAACCTCTCAGAAGATGATGAATCTATTGATAAGAATTAACTCTCTGACCACAACGAAGGAAAATAGTCTAGCCACTCCCACAACAACGAATTTGGTAACGGACCGTGCCTAAAAACACACGTAAACCGAGAGACAGCTTATTCCTAAAATTTCGCTTGAAGATGAAACGGGACTAAACACCTCAATTCAACTTAATTTTAATAATTATTTGGATGGTTTTCGGCTCTCGTTTTTTGAAACATGAGAACTCTTATGTAGCGAAGGAATCATATTTTTAAACAAAAATATTATTATAATTAAATCTACTTCTGTATGGACACTATCTTCTTAAAAATAAAACAAAAATACTAAGGAACTCGGATTATGCACCCAACGTGTTCTTTTCTATTTTCTGCATACCTGCGCATATATATATATATATATATATATATATATATATATATATATATATATATATATATATATATATATATATGAGAAAAGAGAGACATCAGAGAGAGAAGAAAGAGATGAATGAAAAGACAAAACCTAATCAAAATATATCATCTCTGCCCCGTTTTTTTTTTTTTTTTTTTTCAAATATCACTTTTCCTGAAGAAATTGCACTTAATTCCCAAGCAGCATACATAACAAATGTGTTGAAAAAAAAAATCAAAGGGAAACGACTGAATCCATCATTCCAACTTTTGGAGATGTATAATACAAACGTCCATCTCACATTTCTATCAAAACAATATTCTTTAAAGAAAAAAAAAACTTTTTTTTTCTTTTTCGAGTATACTAAATGACGTAATCTAACATTTAAAAGATTTCAGTTGACCTGATGAATATTTATGAACGTCTTTAAATTTTAAAGATTTCCTTTTGAAGATGCTATATGACGTATATATGTAGGATCTAACACCTAAATTTTCAGTTAATCTGCTGAACATTTATGAACGTTCTTAAATTTAAAAATACTTGTGGCAAAATAAAATCATCACATCTGCCTTGATAAAGTCCGTCGGATGAGCAAGTATAGTTTTCTTTTCATTTTGTCTCTTCTACAGATATACTCCATGTAAGAATATTTACACACACACACACACACACACAACATTATTTATATATATATATATATATATATATATATATATATATATATATATATATATATATATACAAATTAACAAAAAAATAAAATTTAAACCGGAATCCGACAGTATGGTATAATAACGAACAAAGAGGAAACGTTTATCAATCTAACATATTTTATTAAAGCTTCATGAGAGATTGGGCAAAAGCGGGTGGAGTGGGGTGACACTCCATTAATCTGAGACTGTTTTACATACGTACTCTTTCCATTAAATAGATATGTTATATTCTTTAAGAATAGATTCAAAGAAGGATGGCGATGTAATGCAATGTTTTAGACGTGTGTTTATAGTTGGTAATAATATTATTATTAAGCTATCAAACTATTTTCTCCTTAAAGAATTATGTTCTTTTTTAATTAATAAAATCAAAGTTATGGCCAGCATCATTCCTGTATAATATATATATATATATATATATATATATATATATATATATATTAGTATTAAAAATAAAATAAATCGCATTCTTTTTGTGTGGTCTCATTCCCAATAGTCATTGTACATGACGTCACGCTAGACCATTTCAAACGTCCAGCTTCCCAAAGAATACCAGGATACTGACAAAAGAATTCTAACTACCAAACAGACACCACATTGGTTCTTGGTAATTGGTGTGATAGTCGAAAGTACTTGAATAAAAATAACAAAATATGAAATTCTCACATTTTTCCACAACTTCGAGCACAATACTCAACACCTTATTCGAATAATATGGAAAAACATTATAAAAAATAAACAGACAGACCTTTTCGGTTCTTTTTTATCAAACTTGTTTGTATATATATATATATATATATATATATATATATATATATATATAATGCAAATATTGTTTTAAGGTATGCCATATTTATTGGTAAAAAAATTGTTGTATATCGGAGAAATTATATAAATATAAGAATAAAACTGAGGTCCAACACCTATTGGCGACAATCTGTCTCAATGCTTGAACGCAATCTTCCAGGCCTGAAAATTGCGTTCTAGCATAAAAAAACCCTTTTAATTTGTTGATCTCAAAATCTACTTCAATGTTTACACACACACACACACACACACACACATATATATATATATATATATATATATATATATATATATATATATAGTTTTGTCTTTCATTCCGATCTAAAAAAAAGAAAACCAATACACGGCACGTCGGTGAAACGCGTCGTTTCCAAGATTTTTCACTTTATATCATATTTATATATATATATATATATATATATATAACAATAAGTATTGAAATTTTAAAATCGTAAGTAAAATTGTGATCAATACCATTGTGCAGAGCTTTAAATAACAATAAATATTGGCTTAAAATGGCTAAAGCTTTTCGACTCAGTACGATTCTGACTTTCATGATACTCAAATTGTGAGTGGTTGATATATTTTTTCATTTTAAAAGATATTATATATATATATATATATATATATATATATATATATATTAAACCTATACTTCAAGCATTCTTTCCACTTCAATAAACTAATTTAACCAAACTAACGTTTTATTTAAAACGTAAGCTTTTTAGAAGGTTTTTCTTATATTTTATTTATTTGATATCATTTCAGGTACACACATCAAGAGAAGAAACCATTTATATGTGACGTGTGTGGCAAAGGCTTCTGCCAATCTCGAACTCTTAAATCACACATCAGTGGTCATCACCCTGAACGGTATGAAAATTTTATTCTAGCAAAGTCTACATTTTTTGTCAAGATTACCTATGTGAAAATGATCCCCCAGAATTCTCTCTTAATGTAATTCTTCCTTGTGCAATGGATGAAAATAATTTCGATAACTATGCTTGTAGGTTGGTCATTATGCAACTATGAAAAAGTACAGTTCATTTTTGTTATATTTTGATCCATCACGCTAAATTAATTTAAAAGAGTAGATGGACGACGCTTATCTGTATTGACTAGTCATTCTCAGTGAATATATATGCAGATGACACCACCGTGTATGGGTGTACCTCCAAATATCTAAAGGACCAATGTTTGACATCTGATCTCTCCTCTGACCTTAATCTCAAAGCTCAATGGGGGAGAGACTGGCTGGTATCAAATACCTCCGAAACAACACTAATAATATTTCATCACCACCGTGCAAAACCTAAACCTGCACCAATCCTGATGAGTGGTCATACCCTGAAAGAGGCTCGTTGCTTTGAACGCCTACTAGGTCTAAAGCCCATTCCCGACCTTCTAGTACTGGAAGAATGGTTGGTTTCTGGCATCACTCCAGAAAATACATAACTTCTGCTGCTATATCTGGGCTGGTGCTGCCCAGTCCTCACTGTCCAGCCTCAGAAATTATGCAGCCTTGTGGGTTATTCCCCCCACCCCTGCAACTCTTGTCCCAGACGAAATGTTGCTAGCCTCACGCTACTCTATAGCGATTTCAGAAGATATTACTCGACCTTGAGGGTGATGAATTATTTTCTACTCTGCAACCCTTCTCCCACAGACAAAACGCTGCTACCTTACCACTACTCTATCTTTATTACTATGGTAGATGTTCAAACGATTTACATTCCTTAGTTCTACCAGCTCGGACCTTCACAGCTAGGACTCGCCAGGTTATGTTCATGTCGAAAAATCATCCTCATTCACGTTGTGTTCTTTTGATAAGGACTAAATTCAACTCGGAGCGATTCTTCTCCAGAACTATTACTTTGTAGAACAAACTCCCGAGGGGATGCTTCCCTGTTTCTTAAAATCTAACCTTTTCAAGTCTATAGTCAATCGTTTCTATACTACATATCCTAACGACCTCATTATCAGCACTTCTTAATCTCTCCTTCCCTTTCCCTTACCACAATCTCGCCCAGTAACGCTCTACCTTGAGTGATCCTTCGGCCTTGTATATGACGAGATGATCGCTAACAGTATGAATAGCATTTATATATTTATATACTTTCACTCTTGAAAACATCATCATCATCATATAATAATTCAGCTTGTCCCTCCCTTCTTTAGTTAGATTGCGCCACCCTTACACCCTGCCAATACCTCATAAATAATGGACTATTTCGTTATGATCGCGTGAAAACGGAAATGACATATCAGAGAGATGCTACTTGGTTTCAGTAAGAAAAAGAAAGAAGGACAGAAAGAAAGGAGATAGAAATGTTTAACGGCTGTTTTAGTGAAGTTGTCAATTTCAAATCTTTTCCATTTGTACCCCCTTACTTCTTAAAATAACGACCAGCATTCATATTTATGATTTTTATTGCAATATTTTGTTAAATTTGTTAAGCTTAAATATTTAACGATGCAATAGAGGGATTTATACGGATATTTTATTGCCGTAAAACTCGCCATGAGCTTATGTTTTTTATTTATTATTTTTTTCAATCATTAACTTAAAAATTAATATTCATCAGAATATTAAAACATATTTTCATGGGTCTTTCTAGTACATATAAACATTCAAGAACTTCTAAACATACAGTCTCCCTTTTGTCTCCGTGTATATGTTTTAATATTTATACATTTCGTTTTTAATGTACTGGATTTGGAATAATATTTGAATCTACAAGTTCTACTAACTAACCCCATAGCATTATTACAAAAAAAGGTCTTCATATCGTTCAAACCGTATTTGCGCCTAAGTGTATAGCACGGACCTAAACAGGATCGATATTTGATAACTAGCGTGATCATATATATATATGTTTTCAATGTGATGTGGCACTAAGCGCTTTACACTATCCGCACATCCAAGCAACTGGTATTCCTAAGCGGTTACCCATCTAGGTGCTGACCAAGCTTGACGTTGCTTGTTCGATGATCGTACGAGAACCGGTGTTTCAACGTGATATGGCCGCAAGCCTTGATTCTTGTAAAATTGATTCGTTTTTTACGGGTTATCAACCCTTTGCGGATTATTTAACGCCTGAAAATAATTTGGATTGTAAGATTTTTTTTTTATTTATTGATACAAGTCTTACTAACTAACCCATAGCTGGGGGGAAGGAATGGATTAATACCCCTTTTTCAAGGATATTTTTAATACACCGAACGGGAATTTGAACACGTCTCTCCGATTAACAATTTCGAGTTGTTATCCATTATACCACTCGCACATCGAAGCACACAGCACCTGTTATTCCCAGGCGGTCACCCACCTAGGTATTGACAAGGCTCGATGTTGCTTAACTTCAGTGATCATAATTCTTGTAAACGTATTAATAATTTTTCTTTCTTTTCTTGTAGGTTACCGAACTAAAAAAAATGGGAAAGAATGCTGAACGGAAAAAAATCGACCAATTTGTTTTGACTCTTTTTGTTTGTGATGAAAGAAAAGCGCGGACTGTTCCTTATTTTCCGACAAAGGCAAATTATTTCTCCATATTTAACACTCATTATGACTTCTGTCTGTATCTCCAAAGAGAAAAAGGAGTCCTCAAAACTATTCCCGACATAAAAAAAAAAACAAATATGAAAAACTTCTGAAATGGAGAATGTAAAATGATTGGATTTTCAGAAAATATCGTGTTTTTTTCTAAGGATCAATGTATGGAAGACATTCTAACCTATCTTGCTAACCTTCAAAACTCATATTTATTTAAAAGACTGTCTTGTTTTCAATGAATATTATATTATACATTATACATTTTTCAAGCTCGTTTCTAAATAAATACAACGAGAGAAAAAGTACGATCGTCCTTTTGTTTTAAGTATGTTTTTTTTTAACCCTGCGTTAGTCAGCTCGGATTTTTAAAAATGTATAGATCCCTGAGGTGTTTACACACCCTAATAGGAAAAGGATTATAATGCTACAATTATGTAAAATGTTGTCATACTGCTGAAAAAATAACATAACAGGAAATCTCTTTCATTGAAATAAAAATTATTATAAATTTGTTGTATAAACATATGTTGTAAATTGTAGGTGAAACTCACCAATACAATAATGGAGAAAAGTTTTATTCATCATTGTATTGCCGCACTATAGAAAGATATTATCATTAACTAAACACAAAATAGCAAGGAACTGAAAGGGATACATAATGATTTTCACACACACACACATTCACATATATATATGTGTGTGTGTGTGTGTGTGTGGTGTCCCATAATTTGGCTTTGGTATATAAATATAAATAAATATATATATGTATAATTATTTATATATTATATACGCAGTACGTCCATTGTGCTCAATATCAGAATAGAATAACATATTTGGTTGGATAGATGTGAGTTTGTGACCCTGGGTTTCACGCTTTATCGATCGTCAGACAAACCTGACGATCGCTAAGCTTTATGTGTTAATAACTATTATTTTCATAAATATATATATATATATATATTTATATAAACATTTCACCCCCCAAGCAAAGGCTGGAATGCCACTAATACGCAAGGGAATTTACAAAAGAGTGAAAGAAGAAAAAAAAATGGATGTGTGCGGGGATTAACGACAGGATAAAAAAGAATAACGGGGGATAAGGCATCAGAAGATGGCGATTGACGTTACATTTGAATTTTTGAAGATTGTAGTTATCGGAGAAGCAGGTAAGAGGAAAGGAGTTCCACTGTTGGGAAGTGCGAGAGAAGAAGCTGATAGAGTAGAAGCTGCGGTTGCATTTAATTGTCTGAACGGCAAAAGGTTGGGAACTAGATGCTAACTTAGTACCACGCTTAAATTCATGCAGTCGAGGCACCAGTTAAAATAGCTCGTCAGAGAAGTTGCCATGAAAATGTTTATATAAAAAGACAGTGGGAAGCCACATCACGTCTGTGAGAAAGAGCAACTGGAGTCGAGGCACCAAGTCAGGACCGATCACACCGTAGATCTTGTCTTTGAATTATGTCGAGAACCTCGAGATGAATTGCAGGAGCATCAGACCATATATGGTAACAGTATTCCGTGTATGGATGTATGGTAGCATTGTAGATGTGCAGGATGGTTATATATATATATATATATATATATATATATATAATACATGGCTTTTTTTTAATTTTTTTTTTCAGAATTTTTCATTTTCTTTCAAAATATTTTCTTTTTCTCATTTTCTTTTTACATGTATTTTCTTAATATGTTGTTCGATAATTTTTATTTCTGTCAATATTTTATTATCAAATTGAGTATGAAGCCTCGTTAAGCATTTTTTGTCTTCACTCTAAACACGACTTCAGTTACAATTTTGCAGATGATCAGTCAGTTATGTGCCATGCGTGATACATGCTTAGGCGATCATGTATCTTTCGATACATGAATGACGAGGCAGATTTTTCCCCGCAGATTTTTTTCCTGGTAGACCAGTTGCCATCCAAGCCTATAGAACCCGGTCTGTCTTGCTATTTACCCATAGCTAGGGGAAGAAGAGGATTCATACTTTTCCCAAAGGTTATTAGCACGTAAGTGAATGTAATGGATTCGACTGGAATTCAAACTCGGCTCTCCGATTCCTCGGTCCATTACTCCATCGTGCCTCCTATTTGCAGATGATAATGTTTCATTGTAGAAGATCATAATTAGGAAAATTATATAGCTACTGATAATTTTATTAGAAGATAAATGTATGGAAGGCGTTATCCAACCACCGTTTTTCCTTTCTGCATTTCCAATTCTGAGGTTAAACTACTATATCCAATGTTCTTTTTCCTCTGCACACTAAACCAAGTTCTCCTTGCTGATAATATCGCAGCTATAAAGGTAAATAAATAATTGAAAGGGGTAAAAAAAGAAAATTCTTTGGAAAAATATGATTCTGTACATTTTGAAGAAATGTTTCATTACTCTGGCATCAAGGCAGAAACTTTAAGAAAGACTCATTCTGCTTACATTTTGCTCACGTACATTAATAATCAATCGATGTCCGTGTCAAAATTAAAAAAAAAAAGCATGTAGATTTTCCAGATACACACGTCTTTTCTATTTTAATGTTTGGCGCGAGACATTCTACTTAAGAACATGCAGCGAGCGTGCTCAACTTTACTGTGCTCTCTTCCTTCATGACGTAAGCGATCAAGGCTCTCCTCAATTTCCTGTTCTTTGTAACTCTTAGTAAATTTTGTCTTTTTAAAATCTCTCTTATTCCTGTTCTGACAATCCATTTACACAAATTCGTTGGGTAGGTTATGCAATTTTTTCCTTCTGCAGTGACTTCAATTTGTAGCCCTCGTTCCTCAATATGTGACCCTAACTGTCTCTTTCATTATGTGTTCTAGAAATGTCAAATATCTCTTTTTCTCTAAAACTTCGTTTGCTATATGTTCAGACTAGTCATTCTAAATCCTTCTGTTGAAAATTTCTATTGTTCCAGTCGACACTTCATTTGTGGTGAAAATGAAAATATGGCGACTGCCATATAGAAGGATCTGTATTACCTAACAGTTCAGTATTCTTTCTCTTTTAACGAAATTTTCCTGTGTCGAATACCTTCTTTATTTTGAATAATGAACCTTCAATTTCAGGAAAAACATTTCCATCCTCTGTTAAAACTCTTCCCAGATATTTAAATTTTTGTACTTGCTTTATTTTGGTATCTCCAGTAAAAATTAACAATTTTTATATAAACCAAGGGTGACAGTATTTAGTAATTTGAGAATAATTTTAGTTTTCAAACTGATATGAACATCAAAAAGTCCAGTTAGACAAATAAGCAAAATCAAGAAGAAATTGACAAGAACACCAATAACAACAATATAATCATCATCAGAACAAATAAACTTTTGTGAATAAAGACCCCAAACCAGAATGTGCATTTCATGTATATGGCTAAAGAATGGATGTGATCGCAATGGATAATGGCTCAGAACAAAACTATCTAATTTCAAGGATCTTGTTATATTTATTTCAAAATACCGTTGGGAAAGGTATGAATCCATCTCTCTGCCCTCTTCATTTATCGCTTCAATAACAGGACAGACTATGTCCTGATTCCTGGTCGTCAACCACCTAACTCAATAAAAATGCTTCAGCCTACTGCGGGAAAACACATCTTCCTAAGAGTCATGAATCGAAAATAAATGATCGTCCAAGCTTGTTTCACTTATGACAATTAACTGACCAACTGACTAACGAATATATACACGAAGTATATATGCCTATTTTAAATACCATATTAGGTTCATTCACTATCTACCAACTGTAATCAAAAGAAATAATAACAATGGATAAAACGTGTGAAATCATCAATAGGTGTTGGGTTCCATTTCATTGAAACGTTATATTCAAATACGTACAAATGTAATTGGGGATGGTATGAACCCAACAATATCTTCAGAATGATAGATTTATTAAACGCAACTAGTATCACATAAATTCATTATTATGTCCATAAAATTTTTACAATCTAAGAATATATTCTGGCTTTAAATAACCTGAAAAAGGTTGATAACCCATAAAAACAAATAATCAATTATTGTCTATCAAGTCCGACGTTCTAGTGAGTATTTAAGCATTAAAATAAAAATATATATATTTTAACAAGAAATGAACAAAAAAAAAACAGAATAAACCTATATTTAGAAAGCTTTAGAAATCCGCAATATATATATATGGTATATTAGCCCAATTTTAGCTCTGACCTCTGATCCCAGAAATAACAAATAAATCACATTACATTTGGCTTTTGACAATTATAACCGAAATTAAAAAAAAAAAATCTTAAATAAGGAAATATTTTAAAAATGGGCAAGTTATGAAAAGAAGAAATAACCACGATTATTTTACATTACACAAATCATCACCGTTGGTCAAACATACACACATTTTGTAAAAAGAAAAATCTTGTCTCTAGATTATTTATTCAAAAAAAAGTTCGATAATTTTTTTTAAATTAATAGAAAAATAAAAAAAACGAATGAAAATTGACAGAGTTGCCCACCTGACCGTGGGTCAGAAAATAATTGCATAAAAAAAAATCTCAAAGATTACGAAAACTAGACATAAATGAATGTTAACATCAATCAACTTAGTGACAAAATTTACTATTTATAGGAGCCAAAAGATGTAACTATTCAGAAATTAAATTCAGAAGTTAATCAAAAATTTATTGGTCTTAGGGAATATCGCTAGAGGGGTAAACAAAAGAAATTCGTCTGCAATTAATATAAGATAAGATAAGAAATTAGATACATATTAAGACAAACAGAACTAGCTTTACTCCAACCAAATGTTATTATATTAAGACTATATCATAAGCAAATATAAGGATGGATATTCAAACGGCAAAAAAAGAAATCTGCAAACAGACTAAAAACGAACATGAA